GGAGGTTGCAGTAAGCCGAGATTGCGCCACTGCACTCCAGCCTGGGCAACAGAGCAAGACTTTGTCTCAATAAATAAATAAATAAAATAAAAATAAAATAAGACGAAAATCTTGTCACATGCTACAACGTGGATGAACCTGGAAGACATTATACGACTGAGCAAAATGGACCAGTCACAAAGGACAAATACTGTATGATTGCACTTTTATGAGATATCTGGGGTAGTCAAAATCATGGGAACAGAAAGCAGACAGGTGGTTTCCAGGGGCTCAAGGAAGCGGGAAGTGGGGAGTCTGTTAGATGGTTATAAGGTTTCAGTTCTCAGGATGAAAACGTTCTAGAGATCTGTTATACAACAATGTGAATAAGGTGAATGCTAGTGAACCGTACAATTAAAAATAGTTGAGGATAAAATGTATGTCTTCTGTTTTTTACAATAATTAATAAAAATTTATTTTATTTTACTTTATTTCTTTATTTATTGAGATAGAGTTTCGCACTTGTCACCCAGCTGGAGTGCAGTGGCATGATGTCAGCTCACTGCTACCTCTGCCTCCCAGATTCAAGCGATTCTCCTGCCTCGACCTCCGAGTAGCTGGGATTACAGGTGCCCCCTACCATGCCCAGCTAATTTTTGTATTTTTAGTAGACAGGGTTTTCACCATGTTGGCCAGGCTGGTCTCAAACTTCTGATCTTAGTTGATCCGCCTACCTCAGCCTCCCAAAGTGCTGGGATTACAGGCATGAGCTACCATGCCCAGCTATTTATTTGTTTATTTATTTAGAGACAGAGTTTCTTTCTTGTTGCCCAGGCTGGAGTGCAATGGCGTGATCTTGGCTCACTGCAGTCTGCTAACTGCAACCTCTGACTCCCGGGTTCAAGTGATTCTCCTACTTCAGACCCTCATGCAGCTGGGATTACAGGCACGTGCCACCATGCCGGGCTAATTTTTGTATTTTTAGTAGAGACAGGTTTCACCATGTTAGTCAGGCTGGTCTCGAACTCCTGACCTCAGGTGATTCAACTGTCCCGGCCTTCCAAAGTGTTGAGATTACAGGCGTGCGCCACCTCATCTGGCTGTTTTTGTTTTTTGAGACAGAGTTTCACTCTTATTGCCCAGGCTGGAGTGCAATGGCTTGATCTCGGCTCACTGAGATCTCCGCCTCCCAGGTTCAAGTGATCCTCCCCTGTCAGCCTCCCAAGTAGCTGGGATTATAGGCACAAGCCACCATGCCAGGCTAATTTTTGCATTTTTAATATAGACGGGGTTTCACCATGTTGACCAGGCTGCTCTCAAGCTCCTGAGCTCAAGTGATTCTCTGGCCTCTGCCTCCCAAAGTGCTGGATTACTTGGCCACTACACCTAGCCAATTTTATGTTTTTTTTTTTTTTTTTTTTTTTTTTTAACCACCATTTAGAAATAAATAAAAAACACATACATAAACACATAAATGAATCAATGCAGTGGAATTCTTGGCACACTGCTGCCCCAAAGACTGCTGCTATTCCCTGAAGGAGGAGACGGATTTGCTGTGGTCTGCTGGGGTCCGGCTGCCTACTCTGTTCTGTAGGAAGATAAGATCGGGGTCACATCCTGCAGTCCCCCCAATACTTCTTGCTTTGATGTCCAGCACAGCCAGTCTCAAGCTTTTGGCTTTCAAAAACAATGGTGACTTCAAGTGATCCACCCGCCTTGGACTCCCAAAGTTCTGGGATTACAGGCGTGAGCTACCTCGCCCAGCCTCCCATTTTAATATTCTTAAATTAGGCCAGGCTCGGTGGCTCATGCCTGTTATCCCAGCACTTTGGGAGGCCGAGGCTGGCAGATCACTTGAGGCCAGGAGTTTGTAGAGCAGCCTGGCCGACATGGTGAAACCCTGTCTCCCCTAAAAATACAAAAATTTGCTGGGCGTGGTATCGCTTGCCTGTAATCTCAGCCACTTGGAAGGCTGAGGCAGGAGAGTCACATGAACCTAGGAGGTGGAGATTGCAGTGAGCCAAGTTTGCACCACTGGACTGTAGCCTAAGCAACAGAGCGAGACTCTGTCTCAAAAAAAAAAAAAAAAAAAAAATGCTGGGCACAGTGGCTCACACCTGTAAAACCAGCACTTTGGGAGGCCAAGGCAGGTGGATCACTTGAGGTCAGGTGTTCAAGATCAGCCTGATCAACATGGTGAAACCCCGTCTCTACTAAAAATACAAAAGTAGCCATGCGTGGTGGTGCTTGCCTATAATCCCAGCTACTCGGGAGGCTGAGGCAGGAGAATCGCTTGAATTTGGGAGGTGGAGGTTGCAGTGAGCTGAGATCACACCATTGCACTCCAGCCTGGGCAACAAGAGGAAAACACCCCATCTCAAAAAAAAAAAAAAAAAAAATTAGCCAGGTGCAGTGGCAGCGTGTACCTGTAATCCCAGCTACCTGGGAGGCTGAGGCAGGAGGATCACTTAATCTGAGCAGAGATTGTGCCACTTCACTCCAGCCTGGGCGAGAGAGCGAGACTTAGTCTCAAAAAAAAAAAAAGAAAAAGAAAAAGATTCTTAATTTAATAACATCTGCAAAGAGCATTTCCAAATAAAGTAAGGGGCAGGGCACAGTGGCTGTTGCCTGTAATTCCAGCACTTATTGAGGCCTAGGAGGATGGACCACTTGTAATCCCAGCTACTCAGGAGGCTGAGGCAGGAGAATCACTTGAACCTGGGAAGCGGACGTTGCAGTGAACCGAGATTGCACCACTCCACTCCAGCCTGGGCAACAGAGTGAGACTCAGTATCCAAAAGAAAAGAAAAGAAAAGAAGGAAGGAAGGAAGGGAAAGAAAGAAACAAACATTTGTCAAAATAGCATGTCAAAATAAAAATTAAAAAGAATTAATTAACAGTCATGGATTGTAGAGATTAAAACACAGGTGTCTTTTAGGACCTGTTTTCCAGCCCACTACAGAAACTTTGTTTACTGATTCATCCAGCAAGTGCTTATAACTGTGTACCAGGTACTGATCTAGGCACTCAGGAAGACACAGCTATAAATAAAACAGAGATCCCCAATCTCCCAGAACTGACATTCTAAGGCTGTGCTGTCCAAAATGGTAGCTGGAAACCTCGTGTAGCTAGTGAGCAATTGAAATGTGACTAGTCCAGGCTGGGTGTGGTGGCTCATGCTTGTAACACCAGCACTCTGGGAGGCCAAGGCAGGTGGATCACCTGAGGTCAGGAGTTCGAGACCAGCCTGACCAACAAGGAGAAACCCTGTCTCTACTAAAAACACAAAATTAACTGGGCATGGTGGCACATGTCTGTAATCCCAGCTACTTGGTAGGCCGAGGCAGGAAAATCACCTGAACCAGGGAGGTGGAGGTTGCCATGAGCCAAGATCGTGCCACTGCATGCCAGCCTGGGCAACAAGAGTGAAACTGCATCCCAAAAAAAAAAAAAAAAAAAGAAAGAAAACAAATGATGTGACTAGTCCAAACTGCGATGTGAGTAAGTGTAAAATGCACAGTAAATTTCTTTTCTTTTCTTTTTTTTTATTATTTAAAGACAGGGTTTCACCATGTTGGTCAGGCTGGTCTTGAACTCCTGACCTCAGGTGATCAGCCTGCCTTGGCCTCCAAAGTGCTTGGATTACAGTCCTGAGCCACCACGCCCAGCCAAATGCACAGCAAATTTGAAAGCTTTACTATACACATACACAAACATAGAAAGTTTTAAATATCTTAGTAACTTTTTAATATGGATACTTGTTCAAGTGATAATATTTGGGATACATTGGGTTAAATCAGACACATTGTTATTATTATTATTATTATTTTTTTTAAAGACGCGGTTTCTCCATGTTGGTCAGGCTGGTCTTAAACTCCCGACCTCAGGTGATCCACCCGCCTTGGCCTCCAAAGTGCTTGGATTACAGGCGTGAGCCACCGCACCCAGCCAGACATACTGTTATTCATGTTAACTTTGTTTCTTTTTAGTTGTTTAAATTGTAGCTACTATGAACATTGAAATAAATAAATACATGGTATGTTAGCAAGTGATGCATTATTTGGGAAAAAAAAATCAGGACTGGGTGCGGTGGCTCATGCCTGTAATCCCAGCACTTTGGGAGGCCACGGTAGGAGGACTGCTTGAGGTTAAGAGTTTGAGACCAGCCTGGGTAACAAAGAGAGACCCCATCTTTACAAAAATGTTAAAAATTAGGCATGGTGGTAGGTGGCTGTGTCTCAGCTATTTGGTAGGTAGAGGCAGGGGGATTGCTTGAGCCTAGGGGGTTAAGGCGGCTGCAGTGAGCTGAAATCATGCGACTGCACTCCAGCCTGGGCGACAGACAGAGACCTTCTTCTTCCTTTTTTTTTTTTGTTTTGTTTTGTTTTGTTTTGTTTTGTTTTGTTTTGTTTTGAGATGGAGTCTCGCTCTGTTGCCCAGGCTGGAGTGCAGTGGCACGATCTCGGTTCACTGCAACTTCCACCTCCCGGGTTCAAGCGATTCTCCTGCCTCGGCCTCCTGAGTAGCTGGAATTACAGGTACTTGCCACCACACCTGGCTAATTTTTGCATTTTTAATAGAAATGGGTTTTCACCATGTTGGTCAGGCTGGTCTCAAACTCCTGACTTCGTAATCTGCCCGCCTCGGCCTCCCAAAGTGCTGGGATTACAGGTGTGAGCCACCGCACCCAGCCGGGACCTTCTTTCAAAAACAAAACAAAACACACCTGTTCCTCAAGCAAGATGCCAGGCGCACCTGGGTCAGTCCAGACTCCTAACCCATGTGGTTTACGAGCATCAAGGAGGAGGGAGGGGTTCCAGGAGAAGGGAACAGCCTACCTCTGGGCCTTTGCACTGGCTCATCCTGCTTCCTGGAATGCTCTTCCTAGTATCACTGCTCTTCCCCTTCCTTCCTTCAGGCCTTTCTGCAGATGTTACCTCAATGAGGCTTTCTCTGACACCCCTCTCTAAAACTGCAAAGCACAGGAGTGTGCCACCAAGCCTGGCTAATTTTTCTTTATTTTTTTGGTAGAGTCGGTGTCCCACTATTTTGCCCAGGCCGGTCTCAAACTCCTGGGCTCAAGCAATCCTCCCACCTTGGCCTCCCAAAGTGTTGGGATTACAGGCGTGAACGGCGGGGCGTGAGGAGGGGTGTGGAACCCCTAATCGTGATTGGTCCCTGGCACAGTCTCTTCTGCCCACGGCTCCTTAAAGGGGAGGTTGGCCTGTGGGGAGAGGTGGGAGCTGTGTCAGAAGGGCACCAAGTCTCACCCTCCCTTCCACCTGCAGCCGGAAGGGCAGTCACCTGGGCTCTGGGATGTTGCTTTCTATGCAGCGTCCGCCTGCGGTGCCACTGGTGCAGGGAGGCGCGGGCCTCGGAGCTGAGCCCCCGGGGCGCGCGGTCCGTTTCGGGCTGGTAGTGGGCAATGTGGTGCAGCGCCCCAAACCACGTGGTCAGGTAGTACCCGGCTGGGGGTAGGAAAGGGAGGTCAGCTCGGCCCCCTCGGCTTCCCTGGTCGTCCCAAATCCCCCTGCAGTTTGCCTGCTGTCCCTCCTGCTGCCGAAGGGAAGCTGTTTGGGATCCCGGAAGCCTTGGGTTCCAGCATTCTGGAGTTGGGGGCTCACCCTCTCCCCGCAGCTCGTCTGGATCCAAGAGCTCCATAAGAAACTCCACGTCCAGCTGCGTCTCCCCAATGGCCGGGCTCCAGATGAGTTCCTCGGTCAGCGCCGGCAGGAAGGCGTCGGCCCCCAGGGGATCTGGGAAAGCCCAAGGAAAGGTCCTGAGATAGATGGGGGCGCGCAGACACCTTCCATCCGATCCCCAGGACCGCGAGGGCCCGCTGCCCCTTCACCTTGTGAGGCACGACAGCGCCTCCTACCAGAATCCCCAGGACCGCGCAGACGCCTCCCACCAATGCTACCCTCTCCCTCGACGTGCGCCCGCAAACGCTCCCCTAACCCTCAAGCCGCTCTCCACCACGCTACACGTTGACCCTTCCCTTACCTTGGTTCTCGCCCTGAGCCAGGCCCTCGTAGACATCTTTGCACACCTCCAACAGAAGCGCCACCTTGCGGCGCGGGGCGCAGGCGGCGTGGAGGTGCGCAAGGCGCGCGTGGATGCGGCTCCGCAGGGCGGGGGCGGGGCCCTGACCCTCGGGCCCCGCCCCCTGTGAGCCCATAGGCCCCGCCCCCGCCCGCAGGGCTGTTTGTCGCCTTCGCAGCCGCCGCAGCTCCGGCGCTCGGAGCGTGCGGAGTCGCGTCCACAGGGCCGGTTTCAGGGGCTCCAGCACCGCCTGGCACACGGCCGTCTCCAGCGCAGGGCCTGCGAGGGGGTGGGGGACGGGTGAGCGCAGGGCCGCCAAGTTGCCCCGCGTCCACCCACGCGCTCCACCAACCCACCCTGGCACACTGCTTCCCCTGACTAGCTCTGGTCCCTGCAAGTGTAGACATGGGTGTGAACACGTGTGGAAGAGTGACCCCGGGTGTGAACTTGTGCGCAGGACAAGGGAATATGGCTGTCACACGTGGGCGATAGAACGCGTGGGATGTGTAGGAAGGGCATGTGGGTGCAGAAGGAAATATGTGTGCGCGCCGATGGAGAGAACAACATCGCACACTTGAACCCATGGGTTCAAGCTCCCTTCCCATCCTCCCATTACCTGGATCTTCATCCTTCTTGGAGACCCCAGGACCCTTTCTCCCAGAGACAGCTTGGATGTAGGGGTCCTTTGCCAGGTGATCCTGAAGGTCAATAAGGAGCTGCCGCACATCCTGAAGCAGCTCCGTGGCTGGGTCCCCAGGCCTGTGGGGACCCCCAGAATCCGAGGTGATGCGCAACCGAAGACTTCGGTACTTCCTGGCCACGTAGCTGCTCCGAGCCCTGACCAGAGCTTGGATGTGAATGGTGAGTATGTCCTCGGGGCCTTCCTCTTCAGGGTCGTCCTCCCTTTCTTCCTCCCTTCCTTCAGGGTCTTCCTCCTCCTCCTCCAGGAGGCTGGCAAGAGCCGGCCCAGGATGGCCCACTTCTGGGCTGAGCGGGCCTTTCACCCAGGAGACTCCGTGAGGCGCAGGGTTCCTGGGGGCTGGATGTGAGGAGGGCATTGGGTCCCCTAGAACAGGGGCAGCAGCTCCCTCCTCCCTCAGAGGCCCAGGGCCTCCCCTCCCAGCTAACCTGGATCATATCTCTGGGCAGCCTCTGGCTCTATTTCTTGGGGGGTCTGCTCCTTCCCCCAGCCTCTGTGGGTCTCCAGGTAGAGTTGGTTAATAATGGAAAGCACCTTCCCTGGGGTGTCCTGTTGGATGCTGCCGATCTGCAGAGGATCTGGAGATAGCAGAAGTGAGAAGGCGTCCTGGGTATCCGAGAGACCAACCCTGGTCCCTTCAGGGCACCAGGCGACTTACTTCCCACCTTCATTGCTGGAGGTGCTAAGGCTTAGCTCCTGGCCCTTCCTCACTCAGACCCAGGAGTCCAGGCCCCCAGTCCCCTCCTCACTTAGGCCCAGGAGTCCGGGACCCCCAGTTCCCTCCTCCTCCAATCCCCTCCTCCGTTAGGACCCAGGAATACATGCCTCCATCCCCTCCTCCCTCTGGGGCTACAAAGTCCCGGCCCCAGCTCTCTCTAGCTCCCAGTTCTATATTTCTCTCAAACCCAGTAGTCTGGGTCCCGGAGCCGCGTTCATTTCCTTGGAGCAAGGAAATTGGCAGGTTGGCTGTGCCCTCCTTTGGAGAACCATGCCTCACCTTTGTGTTCATCTCCAGGCCCTAGAGTGGGAGGGGGCAAGAGCAGGGTTCTGGGCAGAACATCCCTGAGAATAGAGAGGTGGGAGCCACAGTGTCAGTGGGGTGTCTTAGGGAAGGGTCCCCTTTAGTGCCTTGGATGGGTGACCTGTACCTGCTGGCTGATAGAAAGGCCAGGAGATGGGGCAGGTCTGGCATGCAGAGGTTGGAGGATTCCAGGGTCACACCTCGGGTGGGGGAAGGAAGAAGAAGAAAGTAAACTTGAGTGGTACAGTCTTCTGTTTCCTGGGACTCTCTTGGTCCCCCATTCCTTCAGAATCTCCCCAGGGACCTTCAGAACAGGGAATTTCCCACTACTCAGAGTCCCCATCTTTGCTCTTTTTTTTGAGATGTAGTCTAGCTCTGTCACCCAGGCTGGAGTGCAATGACGCAATCTCAGCTCACTACAACCTCTGCTTCCTGGGTTCAAGCGATTCTCCTGCCTCAGCCTCCTGAGTAGCTGGGATTACAGACGCCCACCACCATGACCAGATATATATATATATTTTTAAGAGTGTGGGTCTTGCTATGTTGCCCAGGCTGGAGTGCAGTGGCTATTCACAGGTGCGATCCCACTACTGATCAGCACGGAAGTTTTGACCTGCTCCGTTTCCGACCTGGGCCAGTTCATCCCTCCTTAGGCAACCTAATGGTACCCCACTGCCGGGAGGACACCATATTGATGCTGAACTTAGTGTGGACACCCGATCGACATAGCGCATTACAGCCCAGAACTCCTGGGCTCAAGCAATCCTCCCACCTCAGCCTCCCAAGTAGCTGGGACTACAAGCACATGCCACTGTGCCCAGAAATTTTTGTATTTTTAGTAGAGACAGGGTTTCACCATGTTGGGCAGGCTGGTCTCGAACCCCTGACCTCATCATCCACCCACCTTGGCCTCCCAAAGTGCTGGGATTACAGGCGTGAGCCACCGCGCCCGACCATCCCATCTTTACTCTTGTTTCCCACTTATGCCATCAACTAGGATTCGTTCATTAGACAAACACTTATTGAGCCCTTAGTCATTTCCAGGCACTGGAGATACAGTTATCAAAAGGCAGACAAGTTCACTGCCTTCTGGTTGCTTACTTTTTAGCGTGGGGCAGAAGGGGGAAAGGCAGAATATAAACGAGTAAACAGTCAGGGCGTGGTGGCTCGTGCTTGTAATCCCAGCACGTTGGGAGGCTGAGGTGGGCGGATCACCTGAGGTCAGGAGTTTGAGACCAGCTTAGCCAACATGTTAAAACCCCATCTCTACTAAAAATACAGAAAAGTAGACAGGTGTGGGTGGTGGGTGCCTGTAATCCCAGCTACTCAGGAGGCTGAGGTGGGAGAATCACTTGAACCCAGGAGGCAGAGGTTGAGGTGAATGGAGATTGCACCATTGTACTCCAGCCTGGGCAACAGAGCAAGACTCTGTCTCAAAATAAATAAATAAATAAAAAATAAAATAACATAACGTAACATACAAAATAAATAAATAAAAATACAAAAATTAGTTGAGTGTGGTGCTGGACACCTGTAATCTCAGATACTTGGGAGGTGAAGGCAGGAAAATCACTTGAACCTGGGAAGTAGGTGAGCCAAGATTGTACCACGGCACCCCAGCTTGGGCCAAGTGGATATCATATTGAGTGCCATAAAGGAAATGGACTGATTCAAAGTGACCAAGGGGCTGGACATGGTGGCTCACGTCTGTAAGCCCAGCACTTTGGGAGTCCGAGGTGAGTGGATCACCTGAGGTCAAGACTTTGAGACCAGTCTGGCCAATATGGTAAAACCCGTCTCTTAAAAATACAAAAAATTGGCTGGGTGTGGTGGCTAACACCTGTAATCCCAGCATTTTGGGAGGCTGAGGTGGGCGGATCATGAGGTCAGGAGATCGAGACCATCCTGGTCAATTTGGTAAAACCCTGTCTCTACTAAAAATACAAAAATTAGCTGGGCATACTGGCTTATGCCTGTAATCCCAGCTACTAGGGAGGCTAAGGCAGGAGAATTGCTTAAACCAGGAAGTCAGAGGTTGTGGTGAGCCGAGATCGTGCCACTGCACTCCAGCCTGGTAACAGAGCAAGACTCCATCTCAAAAACAAATAACAACAACAAAAAACTCCACCAAGACAAAAAACAAACGAACAAAAAAACCCACCGAAACGAAGCAAAAAATTAGTTGTGTGTGGTGGTGTGCACCTGTAATCCCAGCTACTTGGGAGGCTGAGGCATGAGAATTGCTTGAACCTGGGAGGCAGAGGTGGCAATGAATTGAGGCTGGGCCACTGCACTATAGACTGAGTGACAGGGTGAGACCTTGTCTCAAAAAAAAAAAAAAAGGAAAAGAAAAAGAAAGTGACCAAGGGGCCACCTTTTAACTACAATGGTCAAGAAAGATTACATTTCCTTTTTTTTTTTTTTT